TTAAGTATTTAGGTCAGAAATTATAGAACAAAAACAATCTTCCATAAGAGACCTATTTAGTAGCTTCAATTCTTCTTCCATGAACATTAAATGTTTTCTTGGATCAGCTAAACCTTGCTTATCCCTGGTTTCTTGATCTAGATTATCCCATGTATGAATCTTCTGTACAACATATCTAATAAAAGACCTTTTAGTCTCTTGAAACTCTCCTGTGACTAAGAACTCCATTTTTAGAAAGTTCTTCTCCCTTTTATTTACAAAAATATTCCTCCCTATTCCCTTTGTCCAGTGGTTCTAGTGCTGTCTTTGACACAGAATAAATCTACCAGTTTTAAAAATATTTGGTAACAGCTATCACATTCTCCTTCTAAATCATCTCTTCTAAGCTTAACATTCTGCTAAACACTCCCATTATGAGAAATAAGATAATATAAATGAAACACATTGTGGGAAGAAGTGAGCTGTACATATTCAGTAATTATTATTACCATATACTACTAGTTCACCTTTACTTCTACACACTTCCCACCATCTTCCACACAAACATTAGTTACATGAAGGAGCTCCTGCATCTGGATTAGACCTTAAACTCTAATATTTTTTTAAGCCAACTTTATACCTGTCTTAGTAGATTCCTTCTATATCAAACTAACTGCATGAACATTTCATTCAACTCCTTTAATCTAATCTCCAAACTTCCCTCTTAAGAAACCCATTCCATAAAAACCAATCAGACTTATTCTTGAGCTCTACAGAGATTCCTGTTCCAAATTCTTATTTATACAATGTCACAGATTTGGGCTCTTCTGACCCTATGTTCCCTCTTTCCAAAACACCTCTATCTTCTATACATCTTTCAAGATTCAGCTCAGAGATCACTTCTTCCACAATTCTCTGACCAATCCACCCACACCCCAGGCTAGATTAGACGATCTTCAAGCTTCCAAATTAGCACCCTATAACATACTTTGGGAAAATACTTTTGTTTTATTTTGTTACCTCTAAGGCTCCCTAATACATTCTTGGTTTCTCTGCAGTTTCTAGAACACAGCAAGTTGTTCAAAGATAAAAAGCTTCATCTCAATTCTTAAACAGCATAATAAAATTAAGTATATCCAAACACACTCCAAGTCACCATTTTTAAGTCTTCTGCTTGAAAATAGTAATAATTTTAGAGGTACTTAAGAAATCTTCCTACTCTATGGTATCAGGTGGGTACTAGACTTATTGGGGGAATCACTTCATAAGTTATATAAATGCTGTACACCTGAAACTAATATTGATTGTCAACTATAAGTGAAAAATAATTTTTTTTAAATCCTGCTATTCTCACCTAACAGCAATGATGTTTTAAAAAATATACCCCTATTGTCACTATAATCACATCTTCTCTAGATCTCTCCCTACTCTCCCATAAGCTTTCCAGTTATTCAAAAGACTCATTTACCCAAGTGCCTATTAACACTAGGCTCGGTATTAAGAGAATTATGCAGTTCTTAGTCCCCTCTATCATTCTTATTTTTACCCATAGTTAAAAGGCTACCGATATAAGTCAAAAGCTGAACCAACTATAATGAAGTTTATAAAAAACATAACACTAATGCAGAACTATTCCAAATAATGCCAGACTATTCTAAAGTTGAAACAAAAGGAAAAGTTAACTCGTTGCTGTCTTCTTCGGAATAGCTAACAGTAATTTTCTCAAACAAAAAATTTTCAGAAAAAAAAGGCTCGTATGACAATATATAGCAGAGCCAAGACCTTCAAAAAACATACATCCTTTGACCCAGGAGTAACTAAAAAATACAGATGTAAATCAGTATTTTTATCAAAAGATGTTCCTTGCAGTATAATTTTTGCTGGAAAAAATTACAAAGAAGCTAACATATTAAATTAGGAAGTGGTAAATTATGATGATATATCTAATACAGAATACTATGAAGCCATCAAAAGTGATGTCGCAGAAGAATATTTAACAACTAGGGACAAGTTCTAAAATACAGAAAGGCTACAAAACAATATTTCAAGTATAACAAAGTAGACCACATATCGAAGATGTCACTACAATTTGCTCAAAGTTTCAAGCCAGATAGCGCCAATGCTTTGAAGGTTCTATGACACTGAGATCATGTGACAAAACAAGTCCATAATACTTGACAAAAATGGCTATAATACTGCTTCAGTGTTTTCTGCCAAGATGTATGCCTGACCTCAGAACTCTGGAATAGCTGTGACATCATTTTCAGGATGTAGTTTAAGTATTTCCCCGAGATACCATGCTCATTTGGCACGAAGTATTTTTTGCAATCTTGTAAATAATACAAAGGGACATACACAAACACCACAACCTAAGGGAGTCTACTGCCTCAGTAAGCTACCAGTCCTATTCTCATGAAATCTGTTTTGTCTTGGAAGCCAAAGACTAAAAGAACAGTTTACAGTCAGTTATATAAAGATGTTAAGGATAACAGTGGGCAAGAGAGTAAGGCAATACTGACTGAAATGCTAACTGGGTTTAATAGTAATCACAGGACCTCCCTGAAATCCCAGCAAGCTCTTCTTACAGAAGGTAAACTAAAAAGTAATCTGACACAAGTACAATCTGAAGCTTTTACTTTTTTTCTTGGTGGTTTGTTCAAGAGTCTGTGAACAATTAGGATACTTATTCAAAATTCTTTATGGAATGGTTTTAAGGAAGATCCATTAGTTAACCTAACAAAGAACCTAAACCTTAGTACGCTAACTCTGAAAACATCACGAGATTGGCCAATTCCAATATATGAATCTTAGTCTATGGCCATGCCACCATGAACATGCCTGATCTCGTCTGATCTTGGGAGCTAAGCAGGCCTGGTTAGTACTTGGATGGGAGACTACCTAGGAATACCAGGTGCTATAGGCGTTTAAAAAAATAAATAAATAAAATAACCAATATATGAATCTTAGACCTACTTAAGAAGTTCAATTATCATTCGCTACTCAAGTGAACTTAATACAAATACACACTTGATTAAAAGTTTACATGTTACCCCAATAAACTTAATTAAAATTTTTTTTAAAAAGATAAAACAATAAAATGGTTGAAAGGGTTAAAAAAAAGTTTACATAAAATTAGTAGTCTTCAAATTTGCTACTTCATTTTTAAACTGAAGTTTCCCCACTGGTTCTAACACATACACCAGTT